TCATCTACTCTCCATACTCATTTGTCTTTCCTTCTGTTTCTAAAGTAGCAGTGGCACATCCCTGTCAATGTAAATCTTTCACCTATGCTCTCAAGCAGTCCTTCCCAACCTCTTCTGGAATATTGGTCAATCTGTTATCTTTCTCTGGCATCTTCAGGGTCCTGTTTCATTGTCTCCAATTTCCTAGTCTCAAAAAGAAGCTTACATTTTCCATGGACATGAAAAAAAAAAAAAAAAGCAAACCACAAAAGCCTTCCCTTAGTGCTTTTATATAGTATTCATCTTCTTTGCCCTCCTTAAAACTTTCTTCTTTCTCATCTTTTATTCTGTGGCCACATCTCGGTTTCCTTCTGTTTCTTTGAATATTCTTTAAAAAACAAACAAACAGTTAATTGTTTTTCGTTTCAATATAGGCATTACACACAAAACACTAAAGCTTTGCTTTTAACTCTCTTACATATTCTTTTCCTAAATAATGTTATAAGTACCTTCAGAGTTATTCAATGAAAATGTTTCTACTTTAATGTTCTTACGGATTGTTTCGAACTCTTTATTTTCAGTCCTAACCTTCCTTCTGAGGTATACGCATGTTCATCTTGATGTCTGGCTATTTCTCAGCTTCCATATATGTATTCCTAAGTTTTCCAACCATCTCCCTGTCTGATTTTCTCTTTGTAAATGTTGCCACCATATTTCCAGTTACCCTGACTCAAAACTTCAGATATATTTGCCTTCTGTTCTCTAATCAGCTTTTCAGTCTTGATGGTTTCTTTCTTCTTTGTTAGCAAACATATTCTGTGCTGTCTGTTTCTGGGTCTTTCTTGGATCTTTTTTCCTGTTATATAACAATTCCCTGAACCCTCACTCACTCTTTAAGGCCCATTGCAAATATTACCTCCTACCTGGTAATTCACCAATCACAAACTTGAAGTAATCTGTTCAACTGTGTTCTTGAAGTGCTTAACCCTTTCTATTCTATAGCAGGGGTTGCAGGTATTTTCTGCAAAGGACTAGACAGTACATGTTTTAGGCCTGTGGCTACATGCTGTCTCTTTCAACCATTCAGCTCTGCCATTGTAGCACAAAAGCAGCCATATATAATAAGTAAAGTTATAAGTAAGTTGGCATGGCTGAGTTCATATAAAACTATTATGGACACTAAAATTTGAATTCCATGTTAATTTTTTATGTTATGAAATATATTATTCTCTTGATTTATTTAACTGTTTAAAATTATAAAAGCCATTCTTAATTTGCAAGCTCTACAAAACGAGGCAGTGGACTGGATTTGCCCCATTAACAGTGTGTTTTACAGCACAGCTATTAATATCTATTATTTGTCCTCTTAAATTATATAGAAAGTGTTGTATTCATCTTTAAGACTACCACAAAAATAAGATAATGTTTAGTCTAAAGATTGGCAATTAAACCTACTTCTTTTATCAGTAATTCCCATAGATACTTCATTTTCCACAAAAACCTTCAAATGTGAGTAAAAAGAAATGAACCAAAACACTCAATGCAAGGAAAGATACCAAAAAAGAAGGTAGTAATTTATGTAAGTTTCTCAGTTATAGCTAGGTTGTTGCTTATTTGTTTGCTCTCAGCATTAATATTAAATAAGAATTAAAATGATGAAACCATCTGACATTACTGATAAATTCAACTTTTTCATAATTTAGTGGTGAAATTAGTAATAAGATGTATGATATCTTTTTAAAAAAACAACTCAAAGTCTTCAAGTTCTCCGATGGCTAACATCAGTTCTCTTTCTTGTTCTTTAAGGCTTAGTTCCACTTAATATTTCTGTGAACAAATCCACACCCATTAACGTGTTTTTGAGGCGTATTTGAGAGGTTAAGATATTTGACTAATTAGTATCCAAGAAAAAACTCTTAATTGGTAGGACACCCTTCATGTTAAAGACAGTGAAACTATATGCTTTTGTTGCATTTTTTATTGAATATAATATTGAGAGAATGGAGGATTGCGACGCTAAGGTTCTGTCCTTTTAATTGTATGTCATGTATACTATGTTTTCCTATAAAAATGGCCTGTTGGGCCACTCAATGGATATTAAGGTGGAGATTCAGGGATGAAAGATCATTTTTCATCAAACATACTTATTTTATCCTTACAGTGTCTAGGAACACTTCTAAACTGTGGAACAAATGCAATAATTTATGAGTATTCCCTGATTTTATCTTTTTTTTTCCCTTTGAGTCAGTTAATAGTAGTTCATGTTTTGCTAAAATTATTTTTTTGCTAACACTGGAATAAATGATATGTGATATTACTCACAGAGCATAACTTAATATTAAGATATCTTTAGCGATATCTTCCCCCTTTTTTTAACAAAAGAATGTTAAACATTACTCTTACTATGAAACTGTACCCCTACAAAAGACAAAATGTTTTTCTAAATAAAATATATATTTATACAACTCATATTAGTTTTCCATGTAACATGTCAGGATTTGCTCATAAATCTAGAAAGTCCTACTGTATTTTGAATAGGTTTCAAAGTAATGAAAATCTCAGTAATCAAGGTGGTAATTATTAATGAATTTTCAAATAATAAGATTACTATTTGAATTAATAAAAGTGGGATAAGAAACTAGAAACAGTGGCAGCTCTTTCTTAAGTAGGATTTAATTATTTAGAAGTTGAAAATAGAGAAAAATGTTTTAGATTATAGGAAAAATGAAGCTTGAATATAAAAATTAATTTAAAAATCACTCAGATATACAAATGCAGTAATTATTTATTTTGAACATATTTACTGACTATTATTTTTTGTTTTTATTTTTTTGTATGAAGGTCTCCAGATTTTCATGAAGAAATCAAGGTTAAACTCCCTGCTACTTTAACTGACCATCATCACTTGCTTTTTACTTTTTATCATGTTAGCTGTCAACAGAAACAAAATACTCCTCTTGAAACACCCGTTGGATACACAGTAAGTCTTTTTGGTTATTTAGGCTCTTTAATCTTAAAAATATTTATGATGTTTAAATTTAGTTGATGTTTCTTACTTTTTGAGAATTCCATGAGTCCCTACAGTACTAAAATGGTGCTGGTAAGAATCATCATAACAAGAAAGTGCTCATTAGCATGAGCTTATTAGCTAATCAATTAATTAACTCTGTAAACACCTACATGTTGGTCCTGATTATTGAGTGTTTACCTCAGACTGCAGTGTAAATATAATAGATTTAAGTAGAAAATAACTTCAATGTAAAACAAATAACAGAAATCCTTAGAAAAGAAATTAAAATCCTGGCCATTTTTCAAAAAACATTATAATTGAATTGCACAGATAAAACTAAGATGAAGAACATCATAAAGTGCTTTTACACAATTTTGTCAAGAAAATTGTGCTTCTACGCTAAAGAGAAAAATCAACATTTGGTTTATTAATTTTTTTCTCTTTCATTTGTGGCATGAATGTTGCCAACTGTAAGAAAGTATATTTCCCTGCCTTTTAGTTTTGTTTTCAGCACCCATAAGCCAATTAAGTTTGTACTGTTTACATTAAAAATATTGTGTTTTTAAATTAGTTCACTTTGTGGCCTTCTCTAAGATTCACTTTCTTAGATAATAAGGACCCTCATATTAAATATTGCATAGTAGAGCAATGATGTTTCACAGATTTTGAATAAAATATCATCAGGGAAACATCTTTTTAGAGGAATTATGAAATCCTATATAATTCTGTTAATGTTCAGTGATATCAGATAGATTTGACTGGTACTAACTTATTAAATAGACTTTCTACATAATTATTTTTATAGCAAACATATTTAAATTAAAATTGTTTCCTTTTTCTCTTAAAAGTGGATACCAATGCTTCAGAATGGACGGTTGAAGACTGGCCAGTTTTGCCTACCAGTATCACTAGAAAAACCACCACAGGCTTATTCTGTACTATCTCCTGAGGTCAGTATTTCTCACATTGTAATTCTTCCATACGGAGAATTTACTTTTTCTTTGAGTTTACATTTCATGTATTATTATTTCAGTTTTAAAATGAATATACTAGGACTGGAGGCGTGGCTCGCATGGTAGAGCACCTGCCTGGCAAATGCGAAGCCCTGAGTTCAAACCCTAGCACTGCTCAAAAAACCCAATAACAGCAAAATTAAAAACTAAATGAAATGAGTTTTTTTCATTATAAAGATGTTTTTTGTCAAACAAAATCTTACTTTACTTCTTCTATCTGAAAGTATACAGAAAGTGATGTTATTTCCACAGAGAACTAAAATTTCTCTCTATAAAACCTAGAAGCTTTTATCTTTTAGGGGGTGAGATATGAGACAGGGTCTTTCTGTATAGCCCAGACTGACCTCAAACTCATGATTCTTTTGCCTCAGCTTCCCAACCACTGGAATTAAAGGCTTGTTCTCCCAGGCCAGACTTGTTTTATCTTTTTTAGTGGGAAGGTGTATAGTTCTGGGGGTTGAACTCAGGACTTTGCACCTGCTAGTCCGGTGCTCTACCACTTGAGCCACCCCCACTAACACTTTATAATTTCAATTATTTTTTGGATAGGGTTTTGAGTTGGTGCCTGGGCTGGCCTGGACTGAGAGTCTCCTGGTCATGCTTCCTTTATAGCTGGGATGACAGGCGTCCACCACCTGCCCAGCTTTTATTATTTGAAATGTCTAGTGAACTTTTTGCCCTGGTTGGGGTAGAACTATCATCCTTTACAATTCTGCCTCCCAAGTAGCAATGATTATAAGCTTGAACCACCATGCCAATCCTTATCCCTTCTTTAAAAAAAAAATGTGTATTCAGAGCTCAGGGTGGGACACAGTGGTAGAGTATTTGTCTAGCACTCGTGAGAACCTGAGTTCCATCTTCAGCATCACCAAAAGATAAAAGAAAATGTATTAATTTTAAAACCAAACCTAAAAAAGATAAATTTGGAAATTTTATATTGTGTACCATGGGAAGCTCCTTATTTAATGAATATTTCTCTTAGTAGATTATTCAGATTTCACTAAAAGACAGGAAGAAGAAAAACAGATTTAAATTAGCTCTTCATATCTTTTTGTAATTGGTGATCATGTAAGCGAAAACAAATAGCTATCAATATGCAATGCAAGAAATAGTAACAGCTTTGATGGTGATATCCATATGTGGAAACATCTATATGTGTAAAAGACTTAAAACAAACACCAGAAAAATTCTTTTAGAGTTGGTTTAACATAGTATATATTTTAGTTTTGAAAACCATAAGAATCAGTTATCTCAGATTTCTTCCTAGAAAAGATCCAGTTTCCAAAGCAATTTGTACATTCTAGTTTGAATGCAATGACATGATATTTCATAATTTTTAAAATATAAAATGAAGTTAGTGGCTGAAAAACATCTGCTACAATGAATTTGAAGGGAAATTTCCCTCTTTCATTATAGCTATAAAGTACAATGATTTAACTTCAAATGATTTCATAATGTACCAATATCTAACATTGAAATGCATCCATGCTGTCTTACATAATTGTATTAGAGTCAAGTATATTAGTTACACATCTGCTATAACTGTTATTGCAAAGGAGAAATA